CTCAGTTTTCGACGGGATCGGCACAGTGTCACTTGCCCTGCACCAACTGGGCGCCAACGTCTCCCACTGTTTCCGGTGGGAAACCGATCAGTCCTGCAATCAGCTACCTCATTCACTCTTCCCCACGACGCACATGGGCGCCGTAGAAGATTTTGACATCGAACAACTGGCTGCGATCATCCAGGACATACCCAATCACGAGAGACACATTATCCTCTTCACCGGTGGCCCACCGTGCAAGGACTACTCCAACATTAAACAACACCAACCGGGCCGGGCCGGCTCACAGGGCAGCCTCTTCGACACCGCACTCTCCATCCGCGACGACATTCAGAACAGATGGCCACATCAATCGCTCACCCTGCTAGAGAATGTCGTGCCTCACCCCGAGGTACGCGACGACTTCGACCAGCTGTCCCACTCCATGGGCCTACGCCCAGTCCTGATCGACGCGGCCGACGGCCAAATCATCTCTCGTCCCAGAATCTGGTGGGCCTCGGTCGATTGGGAATCCTTGCCTGCCACATTGAGCAGGCATACACCTTGGCAACTCTCCCTCGACACTCAGCTGTTCCCACCGGTGCTCTTCAATCCCATTGCAGCCGAACTACAACCAGACTGTCACATCCGGGACTTCGACCCGCCGAGTGTCCTAACACACGGACAACTCTTCCACTGCCTTACCACCCAGGCCAGTACGGACGAAGGCCGCCCACCACCACGCAGCCAACAACTACCAGACGACACATGGCAACGGTGGCAAGCCGACCACAAACAATTCGCCCCGTGGCAATACCAACAGAAATACCTGGTCCGGAAACACGGACACGACTGGCAAGTCGCAACACCCGAGCACCGCGAAGCAATGATGGGATTCCCGCGCGGCTGGACGGGACCACACAACACCGACCGGACCAGGAACACCATGCTGGGGAACTCCTGGCATGTGCCCACAGCCATGTGGATCCTATTCCTTTTGCTACTACAGCCAGCCTTCGGAATTCCCCCGCCCACGCAGCGGGTACGTCGCGGATCCCTCGGAATGATGGTCGACCTCTGGCTTCACAACCCACGACCATGGGGACCACCTCCGAGAGCATCGGAAACGCTACATATGCCACAGAACGACTGGCAGGACCACTTGACCTGGGCCAAACACCACGCTACCTCGCTGCAACAGCCCCAGCACTGCGACCCGACCATTTTGTGGGCCATCGCAATGCAAAGGACCATACCACAACTGCCACAACTACAGCACAACGTGTTACTCGACATCGCGGACCTTCGCGATGACCTGACTACAGATACACTTGCATGGTTCGAACAGCTGCCCCCACACTGCCAGCGAGCCTATCGACAACCGAAGATGATCACTCAGGTACCACTCATGACACACTTGCTACATTTGCTTAACTACCCACAGGCACAACTCCTGCACGAGGAACTCTCTCTAGGCTTCGACCTCCTGGGGCCTCTGCGACCCGGAGTCAATTGGCACATTCGCCACGACCACAAATACCTGGACCCATGTGACCTTGCAGAACTCAGGTCATTCAACAAAGCCTACATCCAGCGCAAATTACAACAACACAAGATCGACGACCACTGGACTCTTATGGCCACCGAAATCGCGGGGGAAGTGGCCCAAGGACGTATGGCCGGCCCCTTCGAGGCACCGACTCATTGGACCTCTCGCACAGTACCCCTGCACCTTTTCCCCCACACCAGCCGGCTCCTTCCTATCCCACATCGCGATCCCATTGTGGCAGTCGCATTCAGCATACAACAGACCGGATCGGACGGAAAACCCAAAGTCCGGAGAGGAGAAGACTGGCGCCGCAGCGGCCACAACCAGACGTGCTCTATGCACGATCAACCCTACCATCACACACCCGACCACTACATCCAATGTGCGAGACAATATCACGACGACGCACACCCGCTACATGTGTGGGGACACGACCACGACGGCGCCTACCGTCAACTGCCCCTCGCACAACCGGAGGTAGCATACGTGCTACTCATCACACCCGACGGCCCAACTCTCTGGCACCACCACGTGCTCCTGTTCGGCTCCGCTGCCAGCGTCTGGGGCTACAACCGCTTCGGCGATGCACTCACAGCACTCGCCCGCGTACTAACACTCACACCTGCCCTGCACTACGTTGACGACTACGGGGCCATACAACCCAGTCACATCGCGACCAGTTCCTTCTCCTCATTCAGCAAGCTCAACTCACTACTTGGATTTCATATGAAGACATCCAAGGAACAACCACCGGCGCCCTCTCACAAAATACAAGGGGTTTATGTCGACCTGTCGGCAACACACGCAACCCTTCGACCGTGCCCAGACCGAGTCCGTACACTGTCACACACCCTGTCTCAGTGTCTCGAACAGGGAGGTATGTCGAACGACACCGCCCGACGCACTGCCGGCAAGTGCAACTTTGTCACCGGACACCTGTTCGGTCGAGTAGGGCGATCGGCGTTAGCCGCCCTATACCACAAAGCACACAGCACTTCCGACCGGATCGACAAACCAACTCGAGCTGCCATTCTGTGCCTCCTGAATATCCTGCAACATAGCTCACCCCGCAGCGTCCCACTGTCCACCAGGCCCAGAGACCTTTCAATCATATACACCGACGCGTTCTGCCGGCAGGGCGAGACGGTCTGGCGTGTCAAGGACGCAGGGGATCAGGATTGTCTGCCACCCGATTGGTCGCACGACAACGGATGGGCAGCGGTGCTGTTCAGCCCACAGGCACAAAGGACCCGCGTGGTCTCGGGCGCACTACCCCCTAACTTACTCCAACAAGTGAGTACTGGCACCAACGCCATTTATTTCCTCGAGGCATGGGCCGCGTTGATCGCTCCTGTGATCTTTCGACCATGGATCACTGACACATACCTCCAGTTGTGCGACAACGAAGCGGCCAAACACGCCATCAGACGGGGAGTTGGGAAACACCAACCACTAAACTGCCTGCTCGGTGCACATTGGACATGGCACAACCGACAGCAATTGCAGTTGCATATTGCCCGTGTGCCCACACATGCTAATATAGCCGACCCCTTCAGTCGACATGACATGTCCCTTGCCTCGAAGCACCACTGGCAGATTCTGGAACCCCCCATGCACGCTCTACATAAACGGACGTGCAAAATCATTGGCGATATTGAGTTCGCCCATGCCGTCGGATTTGACGACATAAAGGAACTCCAACAGTTCCACAGGAATCATTCCTCCTGAACCCGACTTGACTTCCACGTCCCGTGAGAATCTTGTCCACAGTAAGGAGACTTGATCGATGTAAGGATGCCTTCAACGTGCCTTTTGTCTAGGTCGTTCGCCTTCGGCTTCACCTTCGACGGGAGTTGACCTACGACGGGAGAACGTCCACTCCCTCTTCGAAACTCTGCTGTACAACATTTTGGGTTTGCATGCACTTGCATTTGCTTACCTTTTATTTTGTTGTACTTTACTTTCGAGTCAGTGGTGTCTGAGAGACACGCACACCGACTCCAGAGATTGAAACAGATCGACCAACAGGTACGATCCCACCCACTTGAGGCAGTGCGGTGAAAATAAATCGACCGACGCTGGTTGCCGTCGTACTCTCTGGAGCGGTTTGTTGTTGCGGTTAACACTTGTGTTAAAAGTAACAACCGATAGCGGAAGGCATTTGAATCACACTCAGATTCGAACCTTGAGTGCCTGCAGGATGACACTGCTTGATTCATGCTCCGTTCGCCATTTTGGCGAATTAGCCAAATTTTTCTTTCCCACCCACCCTCACCAGTTTTCACTGCATGCCCTCAGTACCTGTCGGTCTGCATTTATAGCATCGAGTGAGAGGACGGGAGAACGTCCACTCCCTCTTCGAAACTCTGCTGTACAACATTTTGGGTTTGCATGCACTTGCATTTGCTTACCTTTTATTTTGTTGTACTTTACTTTCGAGTCAGTGGTGTCTGAGAGACACGCACACCGACTCCAGAGATTGAAACAGATCGACCAACAGGTACGATCCCACCCACTTGAGGCAGTGCGGTGAAAATAAATCGACCGACGCTGGTTGCCGTCGTACTCTCTGGAGCGGTTTGTTGTTGTTGTTGTTGTTGTTGTTGTTGTTGTTGTTGTTGTTGTTGTTGTTGTTGTTGTTGTTGTTGTTGTTGTTGTTGTTGTTGTTGTTGTTGTTGTTGTTGTTGTTGTTTGTTGTTGTTGTTGTTGTTGTTGTTGTTGTTGTTGTTGTTGTTGTTGTTGTTGTTGTTGTTGTTGTTGTTGTTGTTGTTGTTGTTGTTGTTGTTGTTGTTGTTGTTGTTGTTGTTGTTGTTGTTGTTGTTGTTGTTGTTGTTGTTGTTGTTGTTGTTGTTGTTGTTGTTGTTGTTGTTGTTGTTGTTGTTGTTGTTGTTGTTGTTGTTGTTGTTGTTGTTGTTGTTGTTGTTGTTGTTGTTGTTGTTGTTGTTGTTGTTGTTGTTGTTGTTGTTGTTGTTGTTGTTGTTGTGTTGTTTTGTTGTTGTTGTTGTTGTTGTTGTTGTTGTTGTTGTTGTTGTTGTTGTTGTTGTTGTTGTTGTTGTTGTTGTTGTTGTTGTTGTTGTTGTTGTTGTTGTTGTTGTTTGTTGTTGTTGTTGTTGTTGTTGTTGTTGTTGTTGTTGTTGTTGTTGTTGTTGTTGTTGTTGTTGTTGTTGTTGTTGTTGTTGTTGTTGTTGTTGTTGTTGTTGTTGTTGTTGTTGTTGTTGTTGTTGTTGTTGTTGTTGTTGTTGTTGTTGTTGTTGTTGTTGTTGTTGTTGTTGTTGTTGTTGTTGTTGTTGTTGTTGTTGTTGTTGTTGTTGTTGTTGTTGTTGTTGTTGTTGAAAAGCAAGGGAGACCAACCATCCCCACACAATCCATGCAACCAATATTTTTACCCACATTTGCCCTCAAATGGGTCAATTTATATACAACCTACACGGAGAGGGGTTCCTCTAGATTCGAGACAACGCCATTTGTCCAGGTTACATCACAAAGATGGAGGAGGGTGACGATGCCGGATCTCGCGTGTGCGAGGCGCGGCTAGTTGGGTGCTGCCAAATGCTAGACTGTGGAGGACTTGGAATTGGGGATCCCTTGGCGGACATCAAGAACATGCGCATTTATGTCCACCAATCACATTCTTTGGTATTCGGATGTATTCGGATGGAAAAAGCTGGTGTTTCATAAACCCGGGGCTTCCGCCCTCGGGACAAACCCTCAAAGCGCTTAGACCCAACATGACAAAGCTAGTGAGTATCCAAGCATGGCAACCTCGGACTGAAAGAGGCCCCTTGTCAGAGGAACCCATGACCCTCCTGAGGAACCGTCTTTCCTTTTTCTTTTTTGTCTTTTGTGGTTGCCACTCCGAGTTTGCTGGCGCCGGCAAAGTGAATTTGGGTGAACTGAAATCGAGGAAACCGATCCTTGGGAATGCGCAGTTCACATTGGCCTCATCGTGCATACTGAGCTGTGCTTCCTGCAGTTCAGTTGGGGACGGGGGGCCCGAAACTCGGTTGGGATAAAGGGAAACAAGAAGGAAGTTCTGGCCAGAGGAAACGGATTCCTATTTTGAGAACTCCCCCCCTATTTCCTGGCTGTCCAGCTGCATTTGCACGACTATCTTTCTTTGTTGATATTGCAATGCCAACCTCCAAGCCTTGACAGCTTGTATCAGTTTACCGGAGGCCACAAACCTCAGGAAAATGTGTGGAGGCCTCCTGTGTTCCCTACTTCCAATCTGTTTGTCTAGGTCCCCCAGCTAGGTGCCCGACCTCTCACCCCTCTTTTTTGGTTGGAAGGGTTCCCCTACGAAAATAGACTACAGAAATAAGGGTACCCTTATTCTAACCTCTCTACTGGACCTAGTTGTGTATCACTCGAAGCGTGCCGCTCGTTTTTTTGTTTTTGTTTTACCTGTCCATTCTGCGAGGTTGTGCTGCCCTACAAGCGAACATGGAACTCCAAAGGTAAGGCTCCCCAACGGGATAATTATGGGTATGGGTCAAAATTACAGAGCTGGGGCAAACCGCGGGTTTTAGTCTTTGGTTCCATTTGCCAAGGTGCCATGTTGGTACCACTGTTTTTGATCCACAGCCATATTGCTTTACGAATCGTGGTTTTCGGGGGCTTTGGGGGGGTCCATGTTATTTTGGGGAGTACTCATTTCCAGAAAAGCTTGCAAAGCGGATTCAGATGTTCTTGGGGAGATGCATTCCTGCTTGAAGACTGAAACAAATACGGCGAGCCTCAACGCTCATGAGTGGTTCTCAACATTTGGAACCCCTCCAGGTGCTTAGTTCCGATTCCCTTTTGGTTTCCCTTTACCCTCCAAAAAGGTTCTAACAGAACTATACCAATGTGAGAAGCACGGATCACACCCGGCCAGGTCACATTCGAAGGACGGCACGGCAGGCTGCTGGCCTTTTGTCGACTCAGCTGGCGGGGAACATCCTCTTGTGAGAAACATATTTGTTGTAAGCAAGCCAGTTGAACAACAATATCAACCTTGGGTTCAACTAAAACCTTGCAGATTAAGCCTTTTTTAGGAATTGGACCCCCTAAAGACTGCTGGGTGTTGTATTTGGTACAATTTGAATGCTCATCCAAAGTAGAGTCATCCGATCCTTTTGTGGAACACTGCCACATCAAGTCTTCCCGTGTGTTCCGATTGGAGGACCCAACCTCCCCAAGCCAGGCTGTAACTCTCGCCCATCCCGTTTTGGTCAAACTAGAAAGGGACCCCTGGAAGTGTAGAGACCCTCCTGTCAAGGTCCCTTTTCAGAGCTTCTTTGTCAACTACCTTTGTTTCCCGTGGCTCGTGGGTGTCAACATGTCCGGATCCCCAAAAGTTCCAAACGGAAATTCCGCGCGAGTCCTCTAAAAATGGGGCCTCTGCGGTGGGGTTTCATTCTCAATCTCCGGAGTAACCACCCCCCTCCCACCCCTCCCCACCACCAGCGCGATTTCGTCAGGCCCCCGGTGGTGCTGTGGTATCCCGAGGTGGCGCTGGCGCCGCCCTCGGCCCTCAGGGTTTACAAGACGCCGTTTTCAAAGGCGGCCGGTTGTGTTCCTTTGGTGTTGCTTGTTGACAGCTTTACTTGTGGCAGCTGTTTGATTTGTTTGTTGTTTTGGTGCTTGGTTTGCATTTGTTGTGGGTGTGTGTCTTGATCGCTGCGTGTGTCATTGTTGTGTTTGTCGGTGCTGTTACTGGTGGTCGATGGGAGCAAGGGAATGAAGCACTTGGGATTCCTTCTGCAACATGCTTAGAGATGTTTAAGGGGATACCTGACAAGCTGTTGATGTGCTTGTTGCCGTTCACGTGTTTTGTTGTTCAGCAAAAGTACTGATAAATGTATGGAAGTTCATGGGGTGGGTGATCATCAAGCCTGTTTTGCCAGTTATCCCGTCAGCGGACCTCCAAATCATACGCCGAGCAGCATGGTTTATGTAAGGGGCTTCGCCCCGAATGTTGCACAGATCTTTGGGAAACAGTGGACCCGACGAGTCGAAGGTTGTAACACCTTTTGATGTTGCTGGTCAACCATACGCGATCATCCATCCATGATTGCTGGTCAATTATCCAATGAATCAGGGATGAATATGTGTGGATTGATTCTAAGCCCCTTATGATTAGACACTTTGGAGACAATTGGAGGACACAGTCGGATCCTCCATGGAACCTCAGCAAGCTTTGGTTGCTGCTCAGGGGTTATGAAGGCAACCTACTAAGCGCAACAACATACTCAAAGGGATGACGGACTGCGCTATCGCAGCATCTTCCACTTGTAAATTTGAATTTAGCTTGGAGTTTCCATGCCCTACCCTTGGACTTTTACATTTACAATCAGGGACTTACGGCCTATCGCATTTTCCTCAGACTCAAGCTCAACGTTCTGGTGGGTCTCTTAATCGACTCCCAAAAAATCGTTTCGACGACCATCCGAAACGCCTTCAACGCTCGCTCGGGCCTCGCTAGAACCAGTGGCGTGCGGCTCAGGAGATGGTTAAGCCACCTTCAACGCTGCTGGAGGCCAGAAATTTGGCGCCGGACAACGGACGGGGCAGCTTCTGAATCGACTTGGGCACACCATCGATCCCAAAGGCTCATGGAATAGTTGCCCATGTGTTCCTTCCACATGGCTGAATTGTTGGCGCGCATATTGTATTATATAACTATGTATACATACATATATATATATATTGTACCACAAATATAGAGTTTTGACAGACGTGGAACCTGGAATGCTGGCGTGTTTGGGAGACAAGAGGTTTTGGGGTTCCATGTCAATTTGCGGAGGAAATTCACTCATGGCTAGTCTTCGGTGGATTCCCGTCCACCCCATCCGATCTTTGTCAAGGAATTTGAACAAATCAAAGTTGTGGTTGCTTGCATGGGACTTTCCCTAAATCGCAACCATATAGTTTGGGTCCAGGGGTCCTCTCCTCGCAGGCTGGTGAAGTATAGTCTGCCGCCTGTCCCAGGGTGCTTTTGAAACTTGAATTGGACAGTGCTTGGCAAACAAACACCTTGAGGAAATCCCAGTTGCCCAGTCGCGCCCTTGTTATGCCAAAGCGGGCAACCCACCCGTCCAAGAGCCGCGCCGACCGCACGACGGGAGGCTTCCTTCCTCCTAGGTCCCCCAGCTAGGTGCCCTTTCTCACCGTTTCTTTTTTGGGGGAGGGCTTCCCTACTAAAGTAAACTACAGGAAAAAGTTGGTACCCTTATTCTAGCCTCTCTACTGGAGGACCTAGCTTCCTTCGCTCGCCAGGCCATGCAAAAGTTGGAAGCGGCGGAGGGCGAGCTTGCGAGACTGCGGGGCGAACTGCAGGCGCGGGGTTTCTTTGGTGCGGGCCCTTTTTCAGGCTTGAGAAATGGCTTGTTCGGCCCTCCCCCCTCTCCACCCAGCCCCCTTTTTCTTCGGTGCATTTTGCCAAGGGATGTTAGGCCTTTAACTGTTTGCCAACTAATGGTTTTCCGAATTAAACCACTGAATGTTAAAAGTTTAGCAGGGGAGCAGAAAGCAACCGAGGGATTTTGGTTTCCGAAGTGCCGGACCTTTTGCGCGCGATTTTGGTGATCGAGGAGGGGGGGGGCGGGTGGTGCCATGGGGGGGAGAGTTCTGGAGTTCCGAGTCGGATTGCCTTTTTGGCTGCCGAAGTGAACAAGTGAAGATAGCATAGCGCTTTGGGGAGAGGCCACTCTTGGGGTGACAAGTCAGTTGCCTGGGGGCTGTAAGGCAATTTGACACCTCAAGCAAACGCACAGCCGAGGGTGTCAAGAGGCTCTTATGATTGGTGGGGTGGTTTGAATTGATGTTTGAGAGCTCTGTGGCAGTGGCCAAATTCTTATAGGGTTTTCTTTCATGTTCATCATGTTCATGTGTACGGGAATCCTTCGAGTAACCCGGGAGTAGCAGTTTCTTTTGGATTCCCCTTACCCCAACCGAGCAGCAATCAGGGTCCAAATTTGATATTGCTGAGCTGAATTCATTGACGACTCCGTTCATTATATTTTGGTTTGAAGGCGCGAACCTTTTGTCGAAAACCAAGGTTGCCAGCCACAACTTGTCGCTGGGCGCTAAGTCCATTTCGGCATATCCCAGGGATACTTGGCTGTGGGTCAAAACCCTGCACCCTTGGTGAACAAAATGGGTGGCAAATGCATGTTCATCCACCACAAAATGGAGCCATAGGTTATGCCCCATGGCCATTTCGCCTCAGGTGATCCATGTTTGTTTTCTTCCCACCCCCCGCGAAGCTGTGGGAATGCCACTTTGGTGGAGCATGTACATGGACCGGGAGACCTTGCTGGTGTGAGAGATGCAGGGAATGAGAAATTAAATGGAATGACCCCGAGATGAAAACCATCCAACTGGTTCCTTTTAAGGGGACCAATTCCTGGGTTCATTCTCACATTCCCTACCTATCACACCAAGAGAACTCTGGGCCATGTCTGGAAAACGTGGACCAGCTTGCATTTGTGACTAACATGAACAAAGAAAGGATTCGGGGGGATTAATTACTGGGAAGTGGACCAGCTTTCATTTGTGTGACTAGCATGATGCACAAAGAAACGCTTCGAATCCAAGTGGGGGGAGACCATGACTGCCAAGTCCGTGTCCAGACCCCAAGCGCAGAAGAAACCGCGCGCGAGAGGTGGCTCGCAAGGACGAGGCCCAACGGCAGCAGGACCCCCCGGCGAAGCGCGAAGCGGAAGAACACACGCATCGGGGTCGCGCAAGCTTCGGGGGCTGGAAACCACCTGGACCCTGAAACTACCCGAAGATGGGAGACTTTTTTTGTCCCAACCATATGAGCGGCGGTGTTGTTGGCCGCAAGTTTGTAGGGAATAAACACCAATGCTCGCATGGGTGGTTTTCAGTTAAGGGTCGTTGGGTGGCAGGCGATTGAAACGGTTCCCTTGGTCGGTGGTGATGAGTTGCGCTGGGCTTTTGGGAAAACCCCACGGAGGTTTCTCAGGAAGCACCGCGGTATCCCCAAACTGGAGAGGTTCCTCTTGGGTTCCCTTCAAAGCAAGCTCAGAAATGCAAGGACCTTTGGTCACCTGGTTTTTCCAGCTCCTTTGGTCAAGTGCACTCAACAAGGGTGTATACCTTTGGTCAAGTGACTTGCACTAGGGAATGGTCCCAACCCCAGCCTCCAGAACCGACCGGATCTCACCTTTTGTTTCTATGGTTGGTCCATGTTTAGTACTTTGGTCAGACAAGGTTGATGTTTTATCTTCGCATCCTTTGCACCGCAAGGGCAACACTCAGTGTGGCCCCCCCAACTAACACTGAATTTCATTGCGCAACCCTTCTTTTTTGCGGGTGTTTGACATGAATCCCCCTCGGATTGGTACAGAAAAGGGTTGAGCGTAGTGTAGTTTGCTCATCATGACATCATTGTGGAAAGCCCCCTTTCAATAACACCAACATGGGCGTTGTCACGTGGAATGAGTCCCCCTCTGGCATCGCAGAAAGTGGCAACCCCACACCCATTGCTGCACGACTTTGCACCTCGCTCCCCGTCATTGAACTAAAAAGCTCCCTATCCACAACCTACAGGAAAGCCCAAACTAGGTCCTCCAGTAGAGAGGTTAGAATAAGGGCACCCTTTTCAGGGGAGCCCTCCCCCAAACGAGTTGGTCAAAGGGCACCTTGCTGGGGGACCTAGAAAAGGAAAACCCAAGAGAAACAGGGTTGTTGTTGGGAAACATGTTACATTGTTGCTTATTGATTGTGGTTTAGTGCTTGAAATCCAACCACTTAACTGCTAAAATTCAAATGTTGGCTCCCCTTCCAAAGTCAACCAAGGAAACCCAATGTACCCTTTTTGGGGGGAGGGCTACTATAATAGACTACAGAAAAATGGGTACCCTTATTCTAACCTCTCTACTGGAGGACCTAGCCAATGGCCCACCCAAATGGCCGTCCATCCGTTTCAGTGCCCCGCCAGGACTGGATGGCGACCGCGCAGAACGGGAAACTCCCGAAGCCGCCGAAGGAGCGTGACGCTGCGAGCGCCGATGCGCCTGATCGGGCCGGCAAAAAAAAGACGGGAACGCAGCCAGTGACGTGTATGGTGAGTTCAGCGGTTGTGTTGTCTGCTGTGGTTGTGTTTCTTTGTTTAGTTGTTTGGTGGTGGACTGGTTGGTTTGAATGGTTTGTTTGTTTATTTGTTTGTTTGTTTGTTGGTTGGTTGGTGTGTTGCTTGGGCTATTTGTTTGTTATTTGCCGGTTGGTTGATAGGTTGGTTTGTTGGTTTTGGTTGTTGGCTTGTTTGTTTGTTGGTTTTGGCTGTTTGTTTGGTTGTTGGTTGGTTGCTTGCTTGCTTGGTTGGTTGGTTGGTTGGTTGGTTGGTTGATTGGTTGGTGTGAGGCTTTGATTGTTTTGTTTTGTTTTATTTTTTTGTTGGTTGGTTTGTTGGTTTGTTTGTTTGTTGCTTGCTTGCTTGCTGCTTGCTTGGTTGCTTGCTTGCTTGCTTGCTTGCTTGGTTGGTTGGTTGGGTGGCTTGTTGGGTGGCTTGTTGGGTGGTTTGTTGGGTGGTTGGCTGGCTGGCTGGCTGGCTGGTTGGTTGGTTGGTTGGTTGGTTGGTTAGTATGTTTGTTTGTGTGTGTATGTTTGTTGCTTGCTTGGTTCGTCGGTTGGTTTGTTGGTTAGTATGTTTGTTGGCTTGTTTGTCGTCGTTGTATGTGTGTTTGTTGCACGCGCATGTGTGTGTGTGTGCGCGCGCTACTTATTTGTTGTGTTGCCATTACGTGCCTGCTTGTTGTTTATCTTTTTGGTCGTGTGTTGTTTGCTCCTTTGTGCTGGTGTTGATTTATCGTTCGTGTTGTTTGCGTGTTGTTTGCTCCTTTGTTTCTTGTTTGATTCTTTTGTACGCAGGCTGTTAATTGATGTGAGCAAGAGACAGCCTCGACAAGGTGTGTTGGTTCAGGCTTGGGGGGCCATGTTGGGGCATATTGGCAGATACAGTGGGATGATAGTAGACGGCACAATTCACACTTTTGCTTCATCATCCCCTTACGTACTCAGGCACTACTCCCAACCTGGTGTGTATCTCTAGTATATAGAAAAATATGTATGCATATATATACATAGTTACGGTACCCCCCCCATGGACCCTGATGTGGTGCTTGAACTGTGTTTTTCCAATGTTGTTTGCCTTTTTTGCCTCCTTGATTTTGTGGCACTTCTTTTTTTTGGGGGGGGGGGGTGCCGTATGTATAGATACATTCATGCATATTTCATGTAAGCAACGATATCAACAGCTTCCATTTGACAGAGTGTGCAAGCATCTCAGTATTGGGACAACTCTGGATTTGTTTTTAACATTCTGGGATTGAAGATTCAAGTTTCAAGAATTTGAGAAAATGCTTTTTGGGAATCTTGGCTCTTGAATCTTGAATCCCATGATATATATATATACAAATTAGATTTGAGAGTTGTCCGGTGTTCCATACATTCTTCTGCAACCAAGTCTGCGCACCCATCTGCGGTCATTAATCTGCAACCCTCCAAGTTCCCTCAATGGGAGGATTCAAAGTGAGAGGACACCATTCTCGGAGA